TCTGAATACGGTTTATAAATAATTCATTAAATAAACCGTGTTCTTTGAATACGGTTTACAATTAAATCATCATATAAACCGTATTCTGTGAATATGGTTTCCTGGGACATAGAAAAAAAAATTCCGGAACAGAGAGCAAAAATTGTCCAACCTGTTACACAATTTCAATTTCAGAACAATCACCTAAAAATAAAAACACAAACAAACCAACCCATATACAATCCAAGATAACAAAAATATATAATCCACACATAGTCCAACAAATCAAAGTAAACCATAAAAAAAAAAATTTGTCCCACATAAAAAAAACACACTAACAAATCTAGTTTCCCCACTCATCACGGCGTCTAGAGCTATCAGTGCGAGGATGTGAAGACGAACAGTCATCCACAAAATGCTATGTATCACCACATCTACTGCACTGCCCTCTATCACTCCGGCGGCGTGCCCGACGATCCATTTGCATGCGATGACGCCTCGTTTGCGCGCGACCGGGTCCAGCCTTCGTGATCATCCTCTCCCAATGTGGTAGTAAGGTCCATCCGACCACCGACCATGTGTCCGGATCACCAACCGGAGCAAAACTCCAATTAGAAAACTGAGCTACCCAGGTCTCCGTCCAAAAATAGGGATCATACAATAACTTCGGTGGAGTATTAAGTTGTCGACACACAACTATAGCATGAGAGCATGGTCTCCTATGTGTCTGCCACTTCAGACAACGACAATGCCTCTCGTCGAACCAAACCTTACACCTGTTTTTCCACACATTGAATTATATTTATAAACAACTAAAAATTTTAGTGAATAAAATTAAAAAAATTAAAATTATACAATAAATAAATAAACCACATACGTTTTGTCCCCTCTACCACTCGGCCGTAGACCCGTTGTCACATCGTATAGATATCTCGCTGCGTTCGCACATCTCACCCCATGATTTGCGGCCGTACTCTCCAATTCGCAAAAAGCCGCATAGTGGGCACTAGCAATGGCATTACTGCATCTCGTGGACTTCTTTTGTTCCTGCTCAAACAAGTCCAGAGTTTTCATGAATGTGGCGCGTACCAAAGCTCGGCAGGGCAAGAACCTAACACCTTTCAGGACGTTGTTGTAACTCTCGGACATATTGGTCGTCAATGTACCCCATCTACGTCCTCCCTCGTCTCCAAGTAGGGTCCACTTGTTCAGAGGAATTTCGAACAGGTAATTGTATGCATCCGGATTAAAATTCGAAAGCCGCTCTCGTATCTGTTGAAATTTTCGCTCTGAAAGCTGTGAACCCAACTCCCAACACCAATTTCAGATTTTGCTATTCTTGTACCTAGTAACAACGTTGCTCCGAAGGTGTCGAAGACAGATGCGGTGATATGCAGCGGGTTCTTGCCAAGCCGCCAATGAATCCACGACACTCTGTAAGCCACCATCCCTGTCCGAAAGAAAGCATATCTGTCTTTCGCCGACAACATGTTGCCGTAGATTGGTCAGGAAAAATGACCAGCTTTCCCTGCTCTCTTCATCCACAATCGCATACGCGATTGACAATAACCGCTTATTTGCAGTTTGTGCAACGGCCACAAGCAACTTCCCCTTGTACGAGCCACGCAAATGCGTGTCGTCCATGCTAATTACCGGCGGGCATCTCTGGAAGGTCTGAATGGCAGGACCAAAAGCCCAAAAAACAAATTTGAATTCTCTGTGCTCATAGTAGGCCGCCATATCCCCACCCTGCCATTCCCACTGTACAACTGTAGTGGGATTCGCTATTTGAAGCGCCCGCAAAATACCTACACGTTATAAAACGTAATCGTCAATACATAAACATAGTGAGATAAAATAAATAATACGTGCATTTTTAATAAAATTTTTCTTACTGAGGGAGTTGTGCGAAGTTCTCTTCCCATGTGCCATACAAACTGTCGATGGCTTTTTTCCTCCCATGCCACGCCTTCTTGTAGCTCACATCAACGGACCAACATCTTTTTACATCCTCCTGGATCAGGGTAACACTGTACTCCGGTTTATTTTGAATCTTGGTCATGATAAGATTGGAAATCATTGTGGCGGTTACATTTTTGTGGTCATTTTTGTTGACTTCTTGCATACAACTATGCCTCTCGGTCCATTCCGTTACTTCCCACAGTTCATGAACCCGTGTGCAGTGCGTCACCCGAGCCTTCCACGGACAAGGCTGAGCTTCTTCGGATTTGCACACCACCTTGAATGATTTCTTATTCGAATATTTTGATCTAACCTCCCTCAATCTACTCACGTTCCAATTCATTATAGCAATCTGTGCTTCTTCCTTGGACCAAAAAACAGTACCCAAACGGATAGAATCGACATTTCCATTCCAAAGAGGGAGAGCATGCTCATCTTGGTCTACATACGACGGGTCCCACTCACCCATCTCGCGATACACGTGTTGACCGGTACTAGGAAATGGGTGCTCTTCAATAAACTCTGGATCACTCTCCTCGCTTAGTGATCTATCCGATTCCGTTTCCGATGTATCATCTGTGAAATCGTCTTCATCATGAATGAAATCATCATCGGGTTCTTCTCTGGCTGTTGAGCTTGTCCCTTCGCCAAAATTACGAACATGCGAAGTGGACGTACCTTCAAAATCAGGCACTCCCCCGTAAAAAGGGGGAACATCCTCAAACTGTGTAATCACTGTAGGTGCCTGCGTAACCTGCTTCAACTCTAAATGCAAATACACATAGGAGAAAGCCGGAAAATAGTATATCCACTCAAAGGCACTATCAGTATTCATGTTTCCGATATTCCACGAACCATCGGGTCGGTTTGTCAGTAAACTAATCCCCTTAATTGTCAAACCATTTCGACGGAAACCAAAATTTTCATAAAGTATATCTACAAATTGTTGAAATGATATCTTCTCCCCAATGCAAAATGAACCATCCGAACGGTTTATAAAATCTGAAAATGAATCTAAAACCTCTTTGGGATAATTCCAATACGCATTAACAAAGTATGGTAGTCCAACAGACGCCATTTATACCTGTTAAAAATAAAATCACGAATTCTTTTATCAAACCCTAATACTCATAATCCATCAATAACATATAATTCACTTTCAACCAAAAAAACCATAAAAAAAAAATCATTCTCAATCAAATAATCCCCTTATCGAACAATAACATATAAATCATCTATAATTTCGATAAATTTAAACCCTAATTTCAAAAAACCCTAACCACAACAACAACCAAACAATTACACAATTGACAATTAACACATAATATTTCAATCTCCAATTTAACATACACACATAATCATTAATCAATTAGCAATTTCAAGTTTCAAACACCAACACATTCAAACATATTATAACAATTATCAATCTTCAAATAACTCCAAACAAATATAAAAAGTTAAGATAAACCAATACCTCGTGCAAATGAATTAACCAAAAATAAGGCTCGTGTCGCTGTTGTCGGTTCACGTTAGAGTGAAAATTGGATCGAGTTTTTTTTTTTTCTCAAGTATTTTCGCTCTTCTCTTCTCTTCTCTTTGAAACAGCTCTCAGCTCAATTGCTCTCTGTTTGCTCGCGTAATGAATGAAGAAGAAGATTTGTTTTTTTAATATATTTTACATAAAACGTATTTAAGGAATACGTTTTCTTTGCATTTAAATGTAAAACGTATTCCTTAAATATGTTTTGCTTAAATGTATTTTTTAAAATAAAATAAATTTTCTGAAGACGTATTTAGTAAATACGTTTTGTGAAAACGTATTACTTAAATACGGTATTTATTTTTTTTTTATTTAACGAAAATTATTTTGAAAATTGTTTACGATTTTTTTTTAATTAAAACATTTAAATGAAAACGTATTCAAGGAATACGTTTTCTTAAATAATTTTTTTTAAAAAAAACATATTCAAGGAATACGTGGTTTTTATGTTTGTCCACTCCCTTTTTTCTTTTTTTTTTTGTCCACTTAATTTCTATATTTTTTTTTTTAGGTAAATCACTCCACTTTTTATGCAAATTAATTTTTATTATTTAAAATAGAAATATTTAGTGTTCTATACGACAATGACAAGCCGATAATAACACTAAAAAAGTGGGCTATATGATGAATCACATGTCGTCATACCAAAACGCATAACTCATTCAAATTTAAATATTTTAAATCTTTTTATGTTTGTTTACTTTTTGTCGGTATACCCCTTCCCATTTTAAATTATAATGTTTTGGGTTTTATAATAATGTTTCAAAACACATATCCACATTCTAATGTTTCTACAGATTCTAATGTTTTGTGTTTTATACGCAAATTAATTTTTATGTAGCGTAAATTGTAGTAGGAATACAGAATAGTTACCAAGCAGTGGGTCATTATTCTACGGATTATCTACATTAATCAATATCATAACCACATAATAATAGACACAAAACAAAATAATTTTCACAAGCTTACACTTCTTTATATAATTTTGCAACACACCAAAGAACATGACAAAAAGGCAAACTCCATGTACCAAATTTTCTGTGCTTAATGAAACAAAGACAAAATGCACTGTGGACAAAGATTATGCCACCAAAAGAGATACTCTGACTTCCAAAAATATTACTGCCAACATTCTCAATCCAGAGAGATATAAAGTCAAGAACTTCAATTGGCATATACGGGCCGGGCCACTAGCGTTCCTTTCCTGCCGTTCGATTTGCCCAATTTAGCAGCAGTTAGCCAATAGCGTAAGTATTTGTGAAAATGAGTTGGCTTTAGTGATAAATCGCACAACTTTCAAACAGTTAACGTACTAAACGGACATATGGAAAACAAAGAGATACTTCTGCAGCATCACTAAGCAAGTAAAACACCATATATATATCTAACAAGTAGCCATAAGGACCATTGCAAAATATTTCTAAATCCTTCCAGACAACTAATCAAAACAAAAAGTAAATCTTGTAACATGAATGCGAGAAAACCACAGGATCTACTAAAGTTAAGCGCACCCAATGATTTATACATTGTTCAAGTGTTTAATGTGTACAATGATGATTGTTATATCGTCTGTCCGATTCTCGTTCTCTAACCACAGTTTGTAAGATTCATCAGCTATTGCAGCACAAGCTTCCCTGGGATCAGCATATTTATTGACCTGCATGAACGGTAAAAAAAAAA